ACCTCGAGCGTAGAAAATCCCCTGTCCCCTCCCCAAGGACAAATGGCACCTCTGGGGCCCCCCAAGGCTTCCTCATTCCTGCCGGATGACGGCTGCCATAAATCCCATTGTATGCGTAGCCAGCTCGAGCATTTCTTTACCATTTCAAAAATCTCCAGGAGGGGCTCGGTGCTGCCCCTGCCATCCCTCTCATTCTGCAGGATCATTGGAGTGAGAAAGAAGTGATAAGGGCAGAGAGGAAGGAGTAAGTGTTCCCAGCTGGCTGCTTGGGGACAGTCCCATTGCTGCCACCCCTGCCCGAGCACCCTGGCACTGCAGCTCCCTGGGGCTTTTGGTCCTGCTGCACTCCTCCCAGCTCCTCCTCGATGAGGAAGAGTACCAGGACAGCCTTGGCCACTGGCATTGGTGATCCCAGCCCGGACACAAACCGGTCCCAGGCAGGGCCAGGGGACAGGACAGGATGTCCCCAGCCCTGTGTTGGGCACTGCCTGGTTAGAGATGCACCTTTCCTGCTCCTTGTCCCGGTGCCAGGGCAGGGCTGCTTCCAACGGGGATCCAACGCTGCTGCTGGAGAGTCCCTGCCTGTCCTGCCCGTGCTACGGCAGAGCATGTGCTCCAACATGCCCAGGAGGAGCACAGACACACACACACACACAGACACACACAGACACACACACAGACACACACACAGACACACACAGACACACACACACAGACACACACACACACAGACACACACACAGACACAGACACACACACACACAGACACACACAGACACAGACACACACACACACAGACACACACACACACACACACAGACACACACACACACACACACACACAGACACACACACACACAGGTACACTGCTGGGAATGGCCATGGCAGCACAGTGGAGCTGCTCCCAGCTGGGTCCCTTTCCTTACAGCTCTGGTTTGGCCCCCGAGGGGGCTCAGAGCTGGCTGCAGCACCCATGGGTGCCTTTGGCCTCTCCACACACACCCAGATGAGCTCTCCTCTCCCTGCTGCTCTCATGGCTGCAGTCTCAGAACCCCTTCTGCCCATGGGAGAGCCCTGGCAGGGTGTGAGCTGGAGGTGCAGCTCACCCTGCTTTGGGGGCCAGGACCCCCCACACCTCCTGTCTTGCTGCAGAGTTACCCTGCCACCACTTTGGGTTCTGTGCACAGCGGTTTTGATCTCCCGGAGCCTTTGGCAATGATTTCCAGGAGAGAACAAGCCCAGCCCTAAGACAGCAACACCCCTGCCCTGAGTTCCCAGCAGCGCTGCCGCCGTCCCCACCTCCCTCCCGTGGGCAAGGGTCTGTGCAATTAGCACCAATATAATGATTACTGCCGGGGTTACATCCTCTCCCTGCTCCCGAGCAGGCAGACTTTGGCCTCTGCCTGATTTTCGTCCCCCTCCCGGGGCAAGCATTGCAGGAGGGAGCCAGGCTGCACTCCCTGGGTCGGATACCCTCTGCAGCACCCCAAAAACAGGGTCTGGATGTCCCTCCCCACCATATCCCTCCCTGATTTCCCCATGGCAGGGACCTACTGTTCCTTGGGGAAATCCGGGAGGGATATGGTGGGGAGGCACATCCAGACCCTCCTCCTCACTCCCTCATGCTGGTGATGCCCGGAACGGAGTTTGGGGTGTCTGGGGGTCCCTTTTCCCCCTCTGGCAGGGCAATAAGAGGTGTTGGTGCCGGTGGCAGCCCCACAGCTCGGTTTAGCTGGAGGTGACCCCGGGCTGGCTGCCCCACTGCAGTCACACCAGCCCGGCTGTAAAAGCAGCACGGCACCTTGTCCATGCCTCCCTCCGGGCTGGAAGGAGGAAGTGCAGGGGGAATTTAAAATCCCAAGTAACTGTTTCAAACTGTTTCAAACTGTTTCACAGGCTGCCCTGCAAATGGAAAGAAAGTTTCAGCGCTCCTTGCTCGTAAAGGATTCTGTCATCTCCCGCCCTAATTTATCTTTACTTCATCACTCAAATTTCAGGACAATCAGATTTGCTTCCCTCCAGCCCTCTGGGAAGAACTATCAGAGGGCCCTGGTTCTTGTCTGAATGGGAGGAGCAACTAAATCCATCCAAATTGCTGGTGAGAACAGGTTCACAGAGCTTCTCTCTGTGCAAGTGCTGAGGGGATGAGTTCCATGGGCTCTCACTTCATTCATACCCATCAAAAAATAAAACTCACCCAAGCCAAGCACACCTCCACCTGCCCGGAAAGGAGGCTGACCTGGTCAAAATAAAGCATTTTTAACACATACATTTCATGAATTTAAAGTACTTCGGGGGTTTCCGTGCACAGAGAAGCCTCTGAATTACAGGGGAGGGACATAAAAAGTTACACATCACAATTTTTTCCTCTGCATAATGCACTTTTAATTACAAACAACACGACCCTGCCAGCAAATCCTACAGAAACATTTCCTGCAGGGCCAGGGTGGCTGCACCTGGGCCATCAGCGCCTGCACCACCACAGGCAGGTCCGTCCCTGCTGCGGAGGGATGGAATAATTCTGTTTCTGGGAGGGGAAAAGGTATCACGGTGAGACAAAAGCGCCTACAACACCGCAATTAGCTCTTTTGCTGCTATAATTAGCGCTGCCATAAGGAGAAAATCAATGCTCACAGCAGCAGGCACAGCTCTGCCTCTACCCCAGAGCCGTGCAGACACCCACACCCACACCCAGCCACGATCAGCTTCACAGGGCAAACGGGATTTGCTGAATTCAGGTTTTGGGGCTTTTTTGTCTTTGCCACTGAGGCAGGCGAGCCCCTGTGTCCCAGTGGAGGGCTCTGGGTGTGTGCAAAGTGCCCCGTGTGAGCACATACACAGACACACAGACACACACTGGGGGAAACCCAGAAAGCTTTGTGAAAACGTGCCTTGAGGATGGTTTTTGAATTTTTTATTGTTATTTTTTGTTAGTTTGCAGTTTGATAAGAGAGGTTGGCTCCTCACATTAAACAGGGCAAAGGGAGCAGGAAGGAGCTGTGGTTCAGGATCAAACCTGGAAATATGGGCTGTGCTCAGACTTTTCTCCCTCCCCTTCCACATCTTGCTGGGTTTCCTTAGGCTTCACTCCTTTTGCTTTTGCCACCAGTGAGCAGCCCGTTTTCTGGATTCGTTGGTGGTTCATACAGGTTTGAGCTGACACTGCCACCCCTTCTCCTCTCAGAGTGACCCAAAGCCTGGCCAGAGCTCCTCCTCATCCCCCAGAACGGCTGGAACAGGGAAACAAACATGGAAATCTTGCTGAGACAGGGCTGCAATCAACGCAGCCCTATCAAAGAGGGTGCCAAATGCCTGTGAAAGAGCGTGGAGGGCGGATGAGGCACACGGGGCTTGCACAAGATGTATTTTCTTTGAAATCCAGGACAGAAATGCCCCCTAAGGATGGACTGCAGATGTTATCCGAGATCATTATCCAGATCTGAGCTGTTTGCCCAGGGGAAAAATGGCCTTGAGCTTTCCAGTCTCCTTCAGGTGTGACCCAACCCTTTTCCGGCTTGGCCCCACCTCCGTGAGCGCCGCTATTCCCCGATAAGGAGGAACCAGGCACGGGAGAGAGGGCACCAAAGCTCTGGGCATTGCACAACTTTCCCCAGCAGAGAAACCCTCCTGATCCACCTCTCTCTCAGTTTGAGCCCATGCTCTGCCTCTCCATTTGGGAGTCTAACACCAGGCTTGTGTTTGTGGGGCTGAATTCCTCTCTCGTGTCCTCCTGCCCACCGGCAGCTGGGAAGGTTTTTCCCAGCAGGAAAATGTCCCCCATCGGTGCACATCCATCCCCTCTGGGCGCTCCGGCCCTCCCACCTCCGTCACATCACTTCCCTGCCCCTGCAGCCCGGCTCCCAGAAAGGAAAATGGGATTTAAACCAGACCAGCTGCTAATCTGGGTTTGGGAAAGGTCCCCTCTCATCCCACAGCATGGAAAGGGGGAAAGGAGAAGAGCAGGGCCAGGGCAGGGGAGCTGAGCCCTTGGGAGAACGGGAGGGGCAGGAACACCTGAACCACCAGGGCAGAAACAGATTGTGAAAGCGCAGCCTGAATGCTCCCTAGGGATTTTAGCCCCTCCGGGGATTAATGATGGGATCGGGTAGAGTTGAGGGAGCTGCACCCTTCCCCAGTGCCAGGGGTTCTGTGCTGGCTCCCATCCACCAGGTTTGACCCCATTCCTGGCACTCCAGTGGCCTTGGACCCCTCACAAGCACAAACCCTAACGAGAGTAAACACAGCACAGCCATGAGACTCCGTTGGATATTATCATCCCCACTAATTTCACCTTTCACTTTAATCATGTTCATTCAGCAGAGAGATTAAAAATATTATAATAAGGAAGGATCAGCCTGACGAGTGTTTGATTTCCTTCTTCCACTGCAGACAGGGCTGGGGATGGAATAATTCTCTCTTCAGAGCACGGAAACCTGGCAAACACGAAGCCTGAAGGCCACACACTGAACAATGAGAAGAAACCAAACAATTGAAGAGCAGCTTTCTCCAGCTGCTTCTCCCACGCAATTCGGGATTTCTGGGCGAGGACAGCGCAGGACTGGTGGTCTCCACTTGACAAAACCAGAAATGTTTCTTGCACGCACAAGAAAATTCCATTTATTCGCGTTGGCCGGCGGGAAGCTCCAGGGAGCAGCCCCAGGAGACGCGGGCACAGCTGGGCACCCAAATCCCCAGCGGCGCTGAGGGAACAAAGGCCGATTTTTGGAGTTTCTGGCCGGCAGGGTGCGAGTTTAGCACCCACGGCAGGGTTTCTGGCCGGCAGGGTGCGAGTTTAGCACCCATGGCAGAGTTTCTGCCCGGTCCTGGAGCTGCATCTCCCGGAGCCGCTCTCCCCAAGCCCCGCCCCGCATCGGCGCTCGGCTGCCCGGGTCTGGCTCGCTGCGCTCGGCGCTCGGCAGGGGCGGGGCGCGCCGCCTCACGCTCTCTCCCGCTCCCCCGCCCGCCCGCCCGCCCGCCCGGCGCTTTCCCCGCCGCGGCCCCGCGCCGCCCCGCCGGCCATGTCGCGGGGCTCCCGCCTGGCGCTGGCCGTCTCCGCGCTGCTCTCCGCCGCCATCGTGGCGGCCGTGCACATCCAGCAGCGCCGGGAGCTGGAGGTGAGTGCGCGCCGCGGGCCGCGGGGGGGAAGGCGGCGAGCGGGGCCCTGCGCCGGCCCTCAATGCGGCTCCGCCCACCGGCCGGGCAAGCCCCGCCCCTTTGCTCAGACCACGCCCCCTCACCTGGCGGCCCGGCAGGCCCCGCCCCCACCTGCGGGCTCAGCGCGGAGCCACGCCCACTGATAAAGAGCCACGCCCACCGCCAAGCCCCGCCCCCTGCGCGCACCTGAGCCCACGTGTCCCTGCTCCTTCCTTCCTTCCTTCCTTCCTTCCTTCCTTCCTTCTCTGGCAGTGTTCCCGGGGCTCTCCCCTGTCTGTCTGTGCTGTCCCACTTGTGTGCCCACTGTTTCTCCTCAGCCCCACAAATGCAGCCTGCTGGAGGACAGACAGCCCTGTGCTGAAGGACAGACAGCCCTGCGCTGTGCCATGCCCATGCTCCCCTCTTGTTCTGCCGGTGCAACCTGTCAGAAGCACCACGTGGTGATTGAACAGGGCGGTTCTCTGTGCTGTATTTACAAAAATCAGGGAATTCCTGGCAGGCAGCCTGTGTGCCAGGGAGCCCACAGCCAAAAGGTGTCAGCTGTGACCATGGTGAGTCCTGAAGCAGAGCAGCCCTGCCTGGGGCTGGAGGCTGTGTGGTTGTGTGAAGCTGTGCTGTGTGGGCAGTGATGTGCTGGTTTGGACCCTGCTGATGAGCCCAGGGTTATGTGAGGGCACACAGCTGATCCTTCCCCACTTACTTACAAAAAATCTAGAAAATGCACACGGAAACAGCCTGAATGACACTGAGGCAGTCAGAAGTTACAGAACACCAGAGTTCAACTTCCCAATCCATAGCCCAGCTGGCTGTTGCTTGGGCTTTGTGATGCATTCTGTAGGTAGAGGATTATATTTTGTTCCCCTCCAGAGATTGTCTGTCAGTGCTTGAGAGGGATGGAATCTGGAGGATGAGGCTGGTGTGGGTAAGGAAGGAGGCAGGTTTGTGTGAGCAAGGGTGGGAGAGCACTCTGAAGGGCACAGGCAGAGCAAGGACAGGATGGTTGGGATCCTGGAGTGGCAGCCAGCAATGGCTCTGCACTTCCAGAGCTGATGGATGTGCTTGTTGGATCACCTAACATATTTTGGGTAGATCACATTTTTGCAGCTGTTTGCTCTCTGGTTCAGTGTGCCTGCCTTGGGGCACTGAGGATCTGGCAGGAATAGCTGCTAAATGCTCCTAAACTAAATTGCAGCTGCAATTAATGGCACTTGTACTTTGAACATGTGCAGAATAAACATCACCCTTGGGTGTTTCATGGGACACCTGAACCTCATGGATCTTTTTGACCCAAATCCCATTGCAGGCTAATACCTCTTCAGAAGGTCCAAGGCTCAAAGCTTATGTTTTGTAAATTTAATCTGAGATTTTTTTTTTATAACTCTTCATGGCCAAGCCAAGCAGTAGTGGCTTCATGTTCCACAGATCCAGCTATTTAGATAACATAATGGAAATAAATATTTTACAGTCCTGGTGTAGAGATTATTTCAAGTTTATCTTTATGCAGATTAATAAACGTTTGACTCTTATAAATTGATGTGCCAGGCCCAGAGTGCTTTGAGCTTGCACATGCTTTTCATGCCTGCAGAAGACAAGCAGGGCTAACTTCCAAGAATGGAGGAAGATGAGAAGATTACCTTTCTCATTTCAGGTCTTTGTCACTTGTGACACTCAAATTCTAAAGGTGTCTTTTGCAAAATGTGCATTTTCAAAGTAAATGCATCCACCATCTGAAGGATTGCAGTGTTTTGTGAAGGAAAAAGGATTATATTCTTGGTGCAATTGATCAGTTACCTTGTATCTCCTCACATCTTTATTGTTATTAACTGATAGCAATGTAATTATAAGTTTATGAACTTTGTATTCAGTTTCAAATTACTGATTTGTGGTAATCAGTAATTACAGTAATTTGTAGCCTGAGTTCAGTTGATGGAAGCTGGTGAGAAGGAACTGGTTTTATTAGATTAATTTCTGGAGAGTTTTGATTATTGGCAGACACGTGTGGCTGTGCATTTTCTTAACAAGATAAAATTATTTCTTAAAACCTTTCTGTTTTGATCTAGACAGGAGAAATGATTGCATTTGAAGGTGCAGTCATTGGCATGCTAGGTGAGGAATTAAACTCTGTTGAATAATAGTCACAGACATCCTCTCAAATGACTTTGGGGTCAGCTTTCAAATAAATTATTTCCAGGTGCATTTTGGCATCATTCAAATGGGTCAAAAAATTATTGATCTTTCATCTAATTATCAAAATATCAAAGTGAGTAAAAATGTCCAGGTAAGAGAGAGAGAAGCAGCAGGGATTTTCTTAGGGCTGTTCCCACCCAATGAGGGGTGGCACCCCAGGTTGAAAGCTGCTGGTGTTGTGTTGCACACAATGTATTTATTTATTTATGTGTTATATATTTACATGATTTATAATGAACACTTTAGGTAAAGGGGATATTTGTGAAGCAAGTGCTTTGCTGTTTAAAGAGTTTGGCATAAGCAGGTTGTAGATTTTTTTTAAGATTAGGACATGAGCAGAAAGAAGCAAATGAAGACACATACCAATTTTTCTTAAAATAATTTCCAGTTTGTCACAAAATTTCCTCTGAGCAGAGAAGTTTTGAGGAGCTCCTTCTGATGTGGTAAAGATTTAGGTCAGAGATGACAGGGATTTTAGATCACATCCATCCTGCATGGCACGGGAATTCCAGGCTCCGAGCATTTATTTGCTCCATAGCTTTGTCACTTTGTAAACCCAACCATCATCACTAACCAACATCACTTCAGTGAGTGCAGATAAAGCAGTTTTTGGTGTAGTGATTCTGGATATTGGTGGAGTGATTCTGGATGTCCTGAAGATTCCAGCCACGGTACATTGCTGTGGGAAGACCCTGCAGAGGGAGGGTGGAGCTGGGGTGGGGTTGGTCCCCATCAGCGTCCCCGGGCTGTGATAAACCCTTTGTGTCCTTTGTGTTTCCAGAGGCTGAGGAGTGGCGTGGTCAGAGATCTGGAGCGTCAGAAGCAGAAGAAGGAGAACATTCGCCTGCTGGAAGAGCAGATCGCTCTGACAAAGCGGCTCATTGAGGAGAGAGACAAGGCGCTGATGGAAAAGCGTTCCCAGCAGCCCTAGGCACTGGCCTAGCTCCTTAGAGGTTTGATTAAAGACGTTTGGAGGTCGTTTGCATCTCACTCCTTGCAGGTGTTGTAACAAACAGAGGTAACCTGTGAAAGACTGCTTATTTTGTATAAATTATAATCCAGCCCCTGCAGCTTTGGGGCAGACACAAACCCCTTTGGTCTGTGGTTGGTACTCGCACTGTGAGGGTTTGGTTGTGCCGCATCCCAGGCTGGGCAGGAGCAGCTCAGTGTGGGGCAGGCTCCCTCTAGCATGGCCAACAACGTGCACATGGGCGGGCTGCTCAGCCGCCACGACGATGAGGCCACCAGGACCTCCACCTCCGAGGGGCTGGAGGAGGGCGAGGTGGAAGGGGAGACTCTGCTCATCGTGGAGTCCGAGGACCAGGCTTCCGTGGATTTGTCGCACGACCAGAGCGGGGACTCCCTCAACAGCGACGAGGGGGAGACGTCCTGGATGGAGGAGATGTCCTATTACTGTGAGAAGTGCCAGAAGTGGATCCCAGCAAGTAAGGCTGCGTGGTGCTGGCCGTGGTGGTGTTTGAGAGGTGTTTGTGCTGCCCTGTGTTCCTGTTTCACAGCTTGGTGGGTGATGCCTGCTGGCAGGGGCTGTGTCAGACACTGCAGTCCCGGAGCTGGGGCTCTCCTGAGGAAGTCAAACTGTCTTCTTCAGTTACTAGAGAACATCAAAGTTCAGAAATGTGCCCACACTCACAATTCTTGCAGCTATTTAGCGACCTGGCCTCTCTGCTCACTCAGCTAGTGACCCTTGCTGTAAAGCTCTGGGGAGGAAAAGGACTTTGTGTGTTACTTTTTTCCCCTCCCTGTTATTTGTCACATCTGTGGAGCATATGGCTAAATCTCAACCTTAATGTTTTCCCAATAATGTGAATTTAAATTCACTTAGAAACATGCTCAGCCTGGGGGGTGTTAGGAGCAAGCTGCAGAATTTGGTGCCTCTCCTCTGGCACAGATATATGCTGTTAGCAGTGTAACAGACAGCTTTGCATTCTAAATTCTGGATTATCTGGTCTGTTATTACATTTAAGATCCAGATATTGGTAAACACCTTGGCTTTGGTGTTTTTTGTTTTTGTTTTGTTTGATTTGATTCGGGGGTTTTGTGGGGTTTGTTTATTTGTTTGTGGTCAAAAATAAGGGACTGTTTAGGTGGCACCTGCCTTGCAGATTTGTCAGAGCTGCCCTTTTTGCCTTCTTCGGATTTGCCAAAATTTATAGTGTAAAAATCTCCTCTCAAGGCATGTTAGTGAATGTTTAGGTGTTGATGTAATGAAACCAGCGCCAGACTAATTAATTACTATGCACTAAAGGGAAATATTAACTTGAAATGTATTAATAGAAAAAAAATGAAGCAGAGTTAAAGGCAGCATGAGCTATCTCACATGGAGCACCTCATTTAACACTCAACTTGTTTTATTTTACAAATGTGCTCCTCTCTGCAGTTGCTGTGGAACAAATCCAAGGAGCAGACAAGGCCAGTTGCAAAGCAGCAGTAGCCACATACAAATGTGCAGAGTAAACGAGCTGCCAAAGGGAGATACTGTGCTGTTCCCTAATTGTTCAGTTCTAGGGAGTTCAGTTGTCTCATGTGAAAATAAAACAGACAAATAATCACTTTATTTCATTGAATTGCCTATGAAAATTTAATCAGAGCAAGGAGTGGAAAAAAAAATTCCACTCCTTGCTCTGATTAAATTCAGAGAAATTCTCTTCATTTACCAAGTGTGAGGGGTTTTCCCCCCATCAGATGTAGTTGCAAACTGAATTCTGCAATTCACTATGGAAGCAGGGTATCCATATGTTTAAAAGTATAAAATTATACAGTAAAAGAGATGGCATCCTTGTAGAGAAACATCTTTGGAGTGTGACATTCCAGAAACACTCTAGTCTTAACATTGTTTCCCTGTCCTCCGGTGTAATTTTTCAATTGTTCATGTTTGTGTAAATTAACTCCTGGTAAGTTTAAATGCCCTGATTTCCTTTTCCTCTGCTGTAGAAACATGGAATTAAAACCTGTAACTTCGGGTGCATGGGGGTTTACAGGTGGTTCTGTCATTTTTGTTCAGACAAACCTGATCTTGGAAGAAATCCAAATTTCCTTTGCAGCACTTTTTCCTATAAAAGGGCAAAAAGATTGATTTTTCCCTTTTCATTTTAGGTCAACTGAGAGAACAGCTCAGCTACCTCAAAGGAGATAACTTTTTCAGATTCACTTGCTCTGATTGCTCAGAAGATGGGAAGGAGCAATTTGAACGTCTGAGATTAACGTGGCAACAAGTAAGTGAAATGTTTGTGCCATCAGAACAGCCGTGGGACTTTCTGAAATTGTTGGTGGTTGTGTACATGCTACCTGGAAAGGGAGGATCAGGTATTGATAACTAAGGAGCATTTGCATGAACTGAAGAAATTAATTAGCTGAGGATTGCCTGCACATGAGAACTTCAGCATTTGGCAGGGAAATTGAAAGATAATCATACAAACCACATTCCTTTTCTTTTTTTTTTTCTTCCCCTTATGTTGCTCATGAATTCATGGCTTCAAGCAGGTTTGGAAAAGCAAAATAAATACAGTTTGGCTTCTAGGCATGAACAGTTTTTTGTGTCTAAGAAAATGTGAAACTGGTGAGGTGGCAACATAGAAACAGAAAGCTTGCCAGCTCCCTGGGTGCAAAGCTCCAACCTGGCTGCCTGTGCACTTGCTGGAATTCACTGTTCCAGTCATTTGCACACCTGAGCAATGAAAATAACATCTGTTTGCATTCTTTGAGCCTGCAATGGTGTGCTGTCTCATAGAATATCACAGGATCAGCTAGGATGGAAAAGGCCTTTGAGATCATCAAATCCACCCTGTGACCTAACACCACCTTGACCATGGCACTGAGTGCAGCATTCAGGGTTTCCTTAAACACTTGCAGGGATGGTGACTCCATCAGCTCCCTGGGCAGCCCATCTCAATGCTCAGTCACTCTTTTGGTGAAGAAATTCTTCCTAATGTCCAGCCTGAGCTGATCATCTGGGGACCTGCCCCTCCTGAATCCATGCTGTGGGTGCCAAGTGATGGCTCTCAGGATGATCTGTTCCATAACCTTGCCAGGCACTGAGGTCAGGCTGGCTGATCTGGAGCTCCCTGGATCCTCCTTCCAGCCCTTCTTATGGATGGCTGTGACCCTCCAGCCATCAGGTGCCCTCTTGGTGAGCCAGGGCTGGTGGTAAATGATGGAGAGCAGCTTGGTGAGCTCTTCTGCCAGCTCCCTCCTCACCTAGGATGGATCCCACCTGCTCCCATAGACTTGTGAGCATCTAAGAGGGCTCAGCAGGTCACCAACTGCTTCCTCCTGAATAACAGGATTATTATTCTGCTCCCTGTCCCCATCTTCCAGCTCAGGAGGCCACTTGTCCTGAGGACAAGCTGTCACACTGTTGAAAATATCAGCCTGGTTGGCTTTTCCTTGAATCTTACCCCTAGGCACTCAGCCTTATTGTCATGTAAGGTAATTTGAAACACTCATTGTAGCTCTTGCACTGCTTTCTCGTGGTGCCAGTGCAGGGAAAAAGGTTGGTTTAGGCAGGGCTCTGTGCTGGCAGACTGGAAGAGTTTCACCAATTCCAGACTGGGAAAGCAAAGGCTGCTGGCATTGCCCAGGTCTCTTCAGGGGAAGACAAAATGAAAATGGGTGAGGAGGAAAGCTGTGACCACATCCCTGGGCTTCCAGCAGCCAGAGCTGCTGCTGCTTCTGGGTAAGTGGAATGGAGAGAAATGGTGAAACTAACTTGCCTGAAGCAGGAAGAATGGGGACAGTGATTTCTGGATTTTTTTCAGAGTACGTGGCCTCAACAGATCCATATCTTTAGCCAGTTGAAAAGAGAATTATTTTTGACATCCTGAGACAAAACCCACAAAATCCTAGTTATCAAACTGAGAGGGGTTGTGAGGTAGAAATAGGGTGAAGGAGACATTAAAACTGTCCATGTTTCCTCATTTTGACATCTTTGACAATGCATCCCAGAAAGCCAAGGTCCACTGTGAGGAGACCCATCTCCCTGAGAAAAGCAGATTTCAGACTTCTCTGAGGGTGAAATACAAGTTATTGTTGGAAGTAGTGCCAAACTGAGGCTGTGTGATTGTTAAAAGATGATCCCAATTTAGTTCTGTTCTAATAAATTAATTGAAATTAATTAAGTAAATGTAATTAACAGTTGATCACCTAGGATTTACTTGAAGGAGGTGAGATATTTTTCAAAGCTGCCCTTTAGTTTGGGTATGTAACAGGTCAGAGTCAATTTAGTTTTGAAGTGTGAAAGACCATTTTCACAGTGTTCCTGATGTATTGGATAGCAGGGTTACTTGTGACTTTCTTTTTATTTATTTGAAAGTCTGTTTCCCTACCTCTGCATTACATTCAGACCCCAGCTGTACTGTAATTCATTTATACAACATTTATACAATTCATTTATGCACAATTCTTGTGTCTCAGCACAAACCTGCATAACTAGGCAGCTTGTTATTCCCATGGGATGGAGAAATCTCTGGAAGAATGTGCATCTAACAATAGAAAGACAAGAACAGGCAGCACAAAACCAGGAAGAAGATGGATTGCAGAAGTTGCCTATGAGATGTTGCAAAAATAAGACATTTATGAGGGAGCAAAGATCTGTGTGTGTGTGTGTGGCAGCTGTGGGGGTCTGTTCAGCAGAAAAAGCAGAAGGGATTCACTGGTGTCCAACACTTTCTGTTGCAGGTTGTCATGTTGGCAATGTACAACTTGTCTCTGGAAGGAACGGGCCGCCAGGGGTACTTCAGGTGGAAAGAAGACATTTGTGCTTTTATTGAGAAACACTGGACTTTCTTACTAGGGAACAGGTAAAGACAGGATATTTTCCCGAGGATCTGGTTTGTGAGCCAGAGGAATGACAGATGGACGAGAATCCTGGTTAATTTGGTGACAACTCTGTTGAGCCTTACAAGTGATAAAAAGGGAAGATTTAATATTAAGAATCTGAGTGCAGGCATGGGGGTACACTTGAGAAAGAATTAGCATTTCTTACTGGGGAGAAACACCCCCAGGAGTGTCACACAAAAGCAATACAAATGCATCTATTTTGGATTATTTCTTACCTTCCTTTAGGCAGCATATGAACTTGCAGA